CCCTCACCCACCTTATCTTTTTGTTTCCAAATCCGTGTTTACTGTTGCACTACCCATGGTTACCAAGGTGTGGTACAAGCCCAGAGGAGGAGATACCGAAAATATGGTATATACGCAGGAGAGCTTTGCTCAGTCATGGAGAAGAATGGAATTATTTCACTTATGAGAAAATGGATGGAACTGGAAATGCTCATGTTAAGCAAAATAAGCCAGACAACGGCAGAAATTGCATGTTTTCTCATATGCTGAATCTAGATTTAAATACTGTAGTGGTGAAACTTGATTGTCAGTTTAGCAGGATCTAGAAAACCACGAAAACAAACCTCCAGACATATCACTGAGGGGTTACCTCCAACATTGGTCTCCATCTGCTTATTGACTGGGGATGCAATGTGACCAGCTGCCTCAGGCTCCTGCCACTATAATTTCCTGACCAAATGGACTAGACTCTGGAACTATGAGCTAAAATAAACCCTTCCTTAAGTTGCTTTTGACAGGGTATTTTGTCATAGCAACAAAGTAACTAAGATGGATGATTGATAGGTAGATGATAGAGATGATAGATAGATGATAGATAGATGATAGATAGATGGTAGATAGATAGATAGATGATAGATAGATCAACAGATGATACATAAATAGATGATACATAGATGATAGATGATAAATAGATACATGATAGATATACAGATGATAGATAAATGATGATGATAGATATATGATAGATGATAGATAAACAGATGATAGATGATTGATAGATGATAGATGATTGATGATAGATGACAGATAATGGATAGATGACAGATGATAGGTAGATGATTGATAGATGATAGATAGATAGATAGATAGATAGATAGATAGATAGATAGATAGATGATAGAGGACATAAAAGCAGAAAGAGACTATCAAGGAAGAAAAGGGACCAGTAACAGGGGTCAGTGGAGGATGAGTGTGAGCACAGTACAATGATGTATATGCATGAAAATGATGTCATGAAACCCATTATTTTGTATGATAATTGAAAAGTTAATTTACAAGTATGTAATCTTGGGCTGAAGAGATGACTCATTGATTATGAGCATGTCTGGTTTGGTTCTCAGCGTCCACATCGGGTCGCTCACAATGGTCTGTAACTGCAGCTCCAGGGACTCAACACCCTCTTCTGGCCTCTTCAGGCACTACACACACACACACACACACACACACACACACACACACACACAGAATTAACATTTAAAAAATATATCTAATCTCTCAATTATATAAACAATATCATCACTCATTAAATTGCTTTCATTTCATACATTGATAACTGTATAGCTTGTCATACTTTCCAGAGAGCTCCTCCCATGAGAATCTGCTCCCTACATGTGATCTTAGACAATGCCATTGAGAAGACTCCTCTTTTAGTAAACACTATTGCATGTAGAAACCATTAGCATGTGCACAAAGAGATTTGGCCAAGTCTCTGGCTTCTTTCCCTGGGTCCAGAAAAGTGAAAAACAGGAGGAGAGTACTGATTGTGGGGCTGATTGCCCAGGAGGAAAGTAAAGACTCAGAAAGGTGAGGAAGCAGGCTTTGATTGAGGCAGAGTAAAGAGAAAGAACTAGATACCCTGTTGGGTGGGGTCTCCAGAGCCGGTAGGCTGCCAGGTAGGATCTCCAGAGCTGGTAGGCCGCCAGGCGACTTCTGGGCTGGTTCTTTTATAAAGTCCCCAGGTCTTTGTCTCCTTTGATCCTGTCACCCTGCACTGTATCTTTTGGCCTTTATGGCCCTGGCCAGGACAGAGAGAACTAAAACAGGTGTCCTTGCCTGGCTGATGGCCTTGTCAGGCTGGTAGCCTTCTTTTTCCATATAAAGCCTTGTTTTGACACATTTTTGGAGGTAAGTGGGAATGTTTTCCCTTCCCTCCTTGTGACCTTTGCCCTAACTGCCTACCCTTAGCTAACTCAACAGGATGACTGCAAATTTACACCCACAACCTATACCTCCTAAACTCCTAATAGCCATTTAATGAGCTATGCAACATTCTGACTTAACCTGCGTAACAAGCAAAGAACTAAATGCGAGCATAATTGTAATAGAAGTAATGGCTTCTTTTCTGTACTCCCAAGACACACACACACACACACACACACATACACACACACACACCTAGGCCTCTTTCCACGGTCCCATCCATCACACTGTCCCCATCATCCCCCTTCCCTCTCTTCTAGGGAAATACATCACACTCAAACTTGATTCCTGTTTGTCTCTCATACCAGGTATCCCATCTGCCTGAAAATTCTGCCATTTCTCCCTTCCAGTACATCCAGATCAGCCACCAATTCCACCCCACGCCACTTCCCTGGTTCGGGCCGCCAATTGCACAGACTGCGGAATGAGCCCTGGCATGCAGCTCTTCCTCCTGCATCCTGTGTGCCCTTCAGAGTCTATTCGGGATGTATCAGCCAGATGGATGCCTTTAAAACATTAGTCAAGTCATGCCACTCCTGTGCTCAGAGCTCCCCAGGGGTTCTGGTAGCTTTCTGAGAAACAGCCATAGTTCTTACAACAGCCATCAGGGACCCAGACATCCTGGATCCCGCTGAACTCTCTGCCCTCACCTCTGTCATACCCTCCGGCTCACTCCACCTCAACCCCACTGCCCTTGCAAGCGCTCTTCCAACCGGTCAAGAACATACGGCTCAAGACCTTTGTTCAATTGGCTGGCCTGTCTGCAGAGCTCCTTCCCCAGGGAGCCGCAGGCTTGCCTTCACAGCTCCTTCCGCTGACTGCTTAAGTACGCCCTGTCTGTGAGGCACTGCTTCAAAGCTGTGATCTTCCCTGGTGCCTCTCACTTATCACCATTCAAAACGCTACGCCAGCCTTCACCGTCTGTTGTGATCGTCTCTCGGATGAGGGCAGAGCTGTTGGCTTTGTTCACTGTCCTCTACTCAAATTGGACTCCCAGCAGTGTCTGACACATAGTAGGCTTTCAGTAAAAGCTGCATAAATTAATAACTGAACAAATCCATTTGACCTGAGTTCAGAATGAAATGGTCAAATGGGTCAGAACAGTAACTTAGAACTGCCAGGTAGATCTTGAAAAGGTTACCACAGAATTTGAGGTTGAGGAAACCACCAGAGAACTGAGCTAAGAAATGAAGTCAGGAGTGGAATGTTCCAGAAGTATGGCCTGGGGGGGAGGGGAGCAGCTGGAACCGTGACTACAGGGGGATCTGATGCCCAAAATGGGCACTAAGAGATGCAAACGACCTGAGGGGGCGATTCACCACCACCCCCCACCCCAGACAGGAAAGGCACTCTGAAGACACAGGTGGACTTGCAGTGAGAGGGAAGGGTGAAGGAGGCGCCTCCACCCAGTTCAGTCACCCACTCTTCTAACGCAAAAGGGTTCATGGCAGCACTGACCTGGGCATCACTGGGGCCTTTCCAGAGTTACGCCCTCCAGATCAGGGTCACTCTGTCTCAGGACTCCCAAATTAAGGTGCCTCCAGGGCTGCAGCATGGCTAGGAAAGGATTAAGAGGCTGAGCTTTCAGGACCCACCCTGCCCTGGGGTGTCTCCCCAGCCGTGCGGGTGGCCAGGAGGTACTTCAACAGAGCTCTCCAAAACTGAGGGGTAGGGGCAGGCACTGCAGACCCTGGACCTCTGCTCAGGCTGTAGGAGAAAGGAAGGGGCATCCTCAGACAACAAACATTCGACTTCATATTCTCTCTCTCTCCTCTCTCTCAGCACATACACACATACATACAAATCGTCAGCACTTTTCTGATCTAACCCCCCCCCTCGCTTCCTTCCCATAGTCCCTTCCCCACCTGTCTTCCCTCCGGTACCTGTTAGCACCTTCTTCCTGGTCCAGTGGAAGGCCTTGTTCGCTCGCACTTATGTTCAGGAAGCTTTGGCTGAGCCTTGGGGCTGCCCTGGGTTCCCTACTGCAGGCCCTGAGGCTGCTGAAGGTGAGGATGGGGCTGGGATCCATAGAAATCATGGTGGTGTGGGTGGTGGAGGAGGTGGTGTTGCTGGTGTTGCTGCTCAGCCTTCTGTGTTGAACTGAAGCAGGGAGAGGAAAGCTTTAGAGTCAGAATAATGGCAGAAAAATGCTCTTTGGTGACAGTTCTCTTCTTCAAAGCCCATTGTCAGCATGTAGGTTGTCAGCAGCTGTGAGTTAGAGTATTAGGCCTGTTCTCGAATTTAAAACTCCGTCAAATCTCAAATAGATGCATGAAAATAGATTGCCTTGAAAGATGGATGACGTCTACTGTTTAATAATCAGATATATTACTTAAACTGTATATGAAATATGATTGATGGGTACAGTATCATAGAGTACCAAACTTGGAAAATCTATTTTTCTCTAAAGAAAAAAAGAATGTAGGGGCTGAAGGGATGGCTCAGCGGTTAAGAGCACTGGCTGCTCTTGCAGAGGACCCGGGTTCAGTTCCCAGAACCTACATGGTGACTAACAACTGTCCATAATTCCAGCTCCAGGGGAACCAATGTCCTCTTTTGACCTCTGCAGGCATTGCACAACACGGGTACACTCACATACATGCAGGCAATACACGCATACATATAAAATATATAAATAACAATTAAATATTTTTTAAAAGGAAAATAAAACCTTCAGTCTGTTTTGGTTGGGAGGGCTGTTTTGTTTGTTTTGAGACACAGTCTGCCGTATCCCAGGCTAGCCTCAAACTCCTGATTCCCCTTCCTCTACCTCCCAAGTACTGGGATTATGGACATGTGGCACCACACCTGGCTGTTAACTAACTCATTTTGCTTTTGAGTTTGGAAAGTTTTCTCTGCATTGACACCAGGCCCCACCTTCCCACCCCCATATTCTCCCGTCACCAATCACATACCATTTACTGAGTCCTGTTGAGAAAACAATTCCACTCTCCATCACCAAGAGCCTTGGACCGAAGTCCTGCATCCTAGACTGCGCTGGGCCACTGTGCGGTGCTCACTTTTCCTTTTACTTCTTGCAGTACAACAGGTACCAGCAGTACGGTGCTGAGGAGTGTGTGCTGCAGATGGGGGGCGTGCTGTGCCCCCGTCCTGGCTGTGGAGCTGGGCTGCTGCCTGAACAGGGCCAGAGGAAAGTCATCTGTGAAGCGGACAATGGCCTGGGCTGTGGGGTGAGTAGTGACCACGTTCAGTGGTGTTTGGTGTTTTTTTGTGTGTGACTGGACCGATTGTTTTCATTTCTTCTGTGGATTCAGACATCTTTGAACTGATGCATAGAAAAATAGATTTTTTTAAAAATCCTTTGTAGGACCTCATATGTATATATTTTGGAAGAAGGAGTTGTATTGAGTTTTTTCCCTCTGTTTATTGAGGTATTGATTCTAAAATGTTGTGAATCACCACACCAGACTTTCACACTTTTTTTGCAGTGCTTAGCTGATGTGCAGCAAAAACAGCTTCCTTTTCACCAGCTGCCTTAAAGCAAAAGTAGAGGAGAAAAAAAATCCCCCATCAGGGCTGCTTTAGTGGAAAACTTGAAATAATTTTAACTAGAAATGAGCAAAAGTGAATGGGGCCTGTAGGGAAGCAATGTTATGTCAAGAGGTCACAGTGGAGGACCCAACAGCTCCATCGGCAGGCTGGTGATCAGGGGGGAGGGAGACTCACTCCAGCACACAAAGACTCACCGAATCATAGGTTAAAGTGACAAAATGGATACTAATGCTGATATTAAATTTCATGTGGGTTAGAAAAGAAAAAATGCATATGTGCTTATGAAATGCTATTGAATTTTGACAGGAAACATTTGTTTCAGAATTGTGCCTTCGTGAGTTTTGTGGAAGTGGGTGTGGGTAGCAGAGTAATGGTCACATGGCCCGGGCTAATTTGGGGTGAGCACTCTATGTCTCATGTGCAAGGTGACACCTGCTGACCTGCTCAAACTCACAAAGCCTGGGTTAAGCAGTAGAAGTTTAAAAATAATGAGATGCTGTGATGCCTAAAAGGAAAGAAAAAAAACTCTCTGGGTCAATAATTGTAGTTATATTAGAATGAAGATTCAAGTTCTGTTTGTTGTCTCAGAAATTATGGAAATCGAGCCACGCTTCCCAGCCTCAGTCCTCATCAATCACTGTGTAATCCACACTGATTGCAGATGGACGAAGCTGCCTGATAAATTTAGGGATCGAAATCCTGGCCAATGTTTTCTTTACAAGTGAGTTGCAATCATTTTTGATAGATGGTTAACTTGTAATGTCTGCCTGCTGTTGTCCTAACAGTTCCTGTCTGTAAAGCTAGAGTTTAAAGATTCTCAACTTTCTTCATGACGTGGACAGTTTCTTTGGCCCCGGTATTTGCTGTGAGAGCTTTTAAGGGGTGTGTGGGTGTGGGGGGGGGTGAGAGAGAGAGAGAGAGAGAGAGAGAGAGGGAGGGAGAGAGAGAGAGGCGTATTGTACATGTGTGGACATGCATGTCTGTGTGTATGAGTGTATGTGTGAGCATGTGTATGCCAGGGCCTGTGTGCAGAAGTCTGAGGACAACCCTGAGTGTCAGTCCTTACCTTTCACCGTTTGAAGCAGGGTCTCTTGGTGCTCATCGATGTGTGCACCAGTCTAGCTTGGCCTGTGGACTTCTGGGCACTCTCCCATCTCCATCTTGACATAGGTACACTAGGATTGCAGGTATGTACGAGCACATCCAACTTTGCATGGGCTCTGGGGCTGCAGAGTGTAACCCTCACACTTGCAAGCACCTTATCCCCTGGGCCATCTCCCCAACTCCTGGAGGTTTTAAATCATTTCAGACTTGGGAGGCCTTTATCTTCCTTTTGATTTTTTTTTTTTTTCGCCACAATGTGGTATTACTTCAGAAATGGACTGAATTGCTTAAATACCTTTGGAATGAGTGAGTTTGGGGGCAAACTTTACCTCAAGAAGGATGACTATGTTCGGAGTGTCCTGTTGTCCTTTGGAAATCTAGGTAGTGAGTCTTTGTTTTATTTTGATTTGTTCTATCTTGTTGTATGAAGCAGTATGACAGTTGGGTTGTATTAGTTACCTAATGCTCTATAACAAATAGCTCCAAATTATAACAACTTAATGTAACATTTATTATGTTCCAGAGTTCCTGTGAGCCAGGGATCAGTCATGAGGGGTTTGGCTAGGTGGTTGTAGTTAAAGGTATCCCACAAGGGAACATTCATCTGGAAGCGTCACTGGAGCTGGGAGACCCACTTGTACAACGGCTCATATAGATCACATAGGTTCATTCACATAGAACCAATAGGAACAAACCACCATTTTTGTTTTCCAGTCATTACCCCGGTCAGAATTGCTTATTCACCTCAACAAAGATGTCTTCAAAGAGTGCTTAGCACCTTCATGGGCTTTCATAATAGCACTTCTAGAACATAACTCAGAATACTTTCATAACACGAAGTTCAGAGATCCACAGAAAGCCCATCAGGAATGGGAAAATACTGCAGAAACCACAACGTTCTTGAACCCATCGCAGGCAAACTCCACAGCCAGACAGAGAGGTCCTGGCATTGGGGGTGTATGAAATCACTTCCTCTCGGGACCACCCAAGTTAGCTTTAACTCAGCATAGAGTATTTTTGCCTTTCTAAAACTCAAAAAGAATGTATTTGGAGATCAAATAATCTGACCTCATTCTTGTCTAAGCCTTGATCATATTTTTACTATTGTTCATAAAAACATTAATTGTTCCTGAGGAATTTGTGTGATTCCTTATCTTTCCTGGCCTCCTAGGACACAGGACAACCTCACGAGCTTTCTTTCATGATACTGGTGCAAAATGTTGACATTTAATACTGGAGAAGAGCCCTGGATACACTGTACTCACTGACCTGGGAATGTAGAAACCTGTGTCAGTAAAGCCGCATCGGTTCCTATCAGCACCTTTCTCCTCGTTTGGCTTTCCTTTGGGCTGTTCTATATCTGGGAGATATTTTTTAAATGATACTTAAATTTAAGGAAGAATTTTCTGTTCTCAATTAGAAATCCAGGGACAAGACTTAATAATAACTAGAAACAAATTAAGCAAAAACAAGAGATCTTTAAAAATTATAGTAGGTTAAGAAAATGAGAATTTCTTTGGGCACTGAGCAGTCAGTCACTCCTTCCTTTAACAAACAGCACTTTATGTGGCACAGACCTAGGTTTATGGGGAAGTGTCTTGGGAGGCCTCACCTGTGGGCCTTCTCAACCAAATATGTCTTCTTCGCTGCTTTCTGCTTTCTTTTAAAAATGTATAGGCACACCGAGCGTGGTGGTGCACACCTTTAATCCCAGCACTTGGGAGGCAGAAGCAAGCAGATCTTTGTGAGTTTGAGGCCAGCCTGGTCTGCATAGTGAGTTCCAGGATAGGTGGGGCTGCAAGGAGACCCTGTCTCAAAAAAGACACACACACACACACACACACACACACACACACACAAGTATAAGCTCAAGTTGTCAAGGCCTCATCAAACCTGGCATAAAAAAAAACTTGTGGCGTATGGCTTACTTTGCGGTAAGAACTTTGCATATGTTTATGTTGAAAATGGTGGTCTTTGTACTACTTATATCAGTAGCATTAATATGTGATTGAGGGTTTTAGTGTGATAAGAATCTAACCTTCATTTTCAGTCTTCATGTACGAAAGAAGTTGGTGAAGACTCAAAGATTGAATTAAAACTTAAATTAGCCAATAAGATATAAAAGCCTTTTATCAGTATGCTGAGTAGAGAAACAGAAAGCAAGCAGATAGATGTCCAGCATTCCCTAATACAAGGACGGGAAGAATGGTTGTATTCGCGATCCTTTGTTTTGTGTTTTGGTTTGGTTTGGTTTGGTTTGTTTTTTGAGACAAGCTCTGATGTAACCCACACTGGCTTTAAACTCAATATCTAGCCAAGGAAACCTTGAACTCCTAATGCTCCTGCCTATATTTCCCAAGTGCTAGTTTTACAGACATGCTATTCTTTAAGAAGATTTTAGTTTACTTTTATAAACATACATTGGACTGAAATATTTTGTAAACTCTATTGGGTTCATTCTATCTTAAAGAGCTGAGATGAAAACCTAGACTTCAAGTGTATGTGGTTTATACAATGATGTATTCAAGAAAACATCAGACAGGACAGACATCCCTCAGGATGTGTGAACATGGGCCATGAGAACTGAACTCCAGGCGCTTCCCTATCTTGCATCACCATCTGAATCCACAAGCGTGTCCTGAGTGGAATCATCTCATGTTGACACGTTATTTTTTAATCTATAAAATGTTCATCAAAAAGCATTTTTGAAAAAAAATAATGTTATGAAATGTCAAAAATATGCAGTCCATGTTTATTTGACATATGTCCAAAAATCTAATTTAAACTCCAAGATTGCCTCATTTGCAGATGGGAAATAAATCTCGCTAGACTCTCTGCCTGTGAGACAGCTTGAAGTGCAAAGATAGAAGCTTTGGAGAGTATTTATTTTAATTAAAGAAACTGTTCACAAATGTACAAGTAAAACTCTTCATACCAGCCCTCTGCAAAGTGCTTGTCAATTGGCAAGTATTCCTCGAAAGAAGGTCTTCTGTGATTTGCAGAGAATGTTTAATAATCCAGGACAGGTCTGGCAGTTCCACTTCCCTCTGGCCAATTTTTGTTTAAATAAATGGAGGTGTATTATGGTTTGGATATGACTTATCCCCCTGAGAAGCATCTGTGTCAAAGGCTTGGTCCCTTAGGGTTGCTGTTGAAAGGTGATCGGATGGTAGGGCATTAATCAATGAGTTCATTGATGAGGTCACAACTGAATGGGCACTTTGAAAGTGGTGCCTGGTTCCTGGAATAAATCACTAGAGCCATCCTTTTGAATGGGCTACCATGTTCCTGATTGATCTTTTCCACTCAAATCTGCCATGAAGTAAACAGGTTTTCTCCACCGCATGCCCCAAAGTGATGGGGGTCATGCAATTTTAGATAGAAAGCTTTGAAAGAGTGAGTCAAAATTTTTAAAGATTTTTGAGACAGGGTCTCACTGTAGCCTCCGTTGTCCAGAATTCACTATGTAGACCAAGCTAGCCTTCATCTCACAGAGATCTGCCTTCCCCCACGTCCAGAGTGCTAGGATTAAAGGAGTGTGACTTCATACCCAGCAAAGATTTTTTGACTGCAT